GCAGTCAATAACTAAAATTATAGGATAATTTGCTCTAAAGGACTAGCTGAGCAACTAGCTATCAAAGTTCATAAATTTAAACAAGAAACTTAATACAATCAGTTCTTGGAGAATAAACCATGCAGTCAATAGCTAAAATTATAGGATAAAAGTTCATGCTGGAAGGAATCAAAACATTAGTATTTCATACAATGCGTATCACATCTAAAGTTATAAATATTAAATATAAATTCTTACACTCCATTCTGAGTTAGTTTGGAATAAGCATCAGGTACAACAAAATAGAATTTAACTTGAACTAACATTAAGCAATATCACATGACTAAGTCTTTTTCTTTGGCCTTCGTGGCTGAGGTTCAAATGCTCTAGAATGGTATTCCACAAAACAGTTCCTGTCTGCCTTTAGACATAAATTTAAATTACATTTAGTGCACTTGTAAGCGGTTTTCCCAACTTTACAATTTTTGCACCTCATCATTTTTCTTTCTGAATTTGGCCAGTGGTTTAGTCCATCAAGGCGCGTTTCTTCGGCTGGTCTGTATGTTGGACTCTGAATTAAATTCTTTCGGTGCACCTTCTCAGTAGATGGCCGTCCTCTCTGTCTCTCCACTGCTCGTAGGGATTTGCTTACCTAAAATTAAAAGCACAATAGACAGGAATAAAAATCTAACCTGAGCAAAAGGCAGAGGGCTAAGGTGCTAATAGCAAATTAAAAATTATGGTGAAATCTGCTCACCTCTAATCTGAATTCTTTAGAGCACTTTAGATCAGGCACCTGCCCAAGTAGCTCATTGTCCTTGTTGTATTGAATATAGGAGTTGGCAAGTGCAAGATCTATCATGTATCCGAATAGGGGAAAATACCATCGCTTACTTCTGGTAGGAACGCTGTTTTCTGCAACGTACTGATCACTAAGATCAACACCTCCCATGTGTTGATTGTAGAGTTGAATTATTCTTGGACAAGAAACGTCTTGCCTACAACCAGCTGATTTGATATATCTTTAAAACAAAAGTATGTATCACACAAAAGTAAACAATGTAGATTGTTCAAAAATATTAACAAAAGGAAAAAGACAAAAAATACTGACCTCTTCACATAAGTTTTAGGCTCAACGCCCGCTGCATTTGAAGCAAGTAAAACAGGTTTGGAGTCAAGCCAGCGAACCACAACTGTTGCCTCGGCACTTACTTGGCTTTCAACAGAACCTCTAGGAAGTTTACG